GGATCCCTGGAAAATCTAACGTGGCAGATGCACTCTCAAGACTGATACATCACTCTCAAGAGGCTATACCTTTCGATGAGGATAACGATAATCATTTTCTGTTTGCGCTTGATTCAGGTGGTATTAGCAAATACAACGATATTTTAGTATATTTAAACCAATTTATCCCGAAATAGGTTCCTTAGACGTTACATGGGAAGAAATTGAAATCAGCTCGGAGAACGATGACGAGCTTCAACTGTTGCGTGCCGCCATTCAACTTGATCAATGGCCACTAAAGCTCCGCAAGTATGAGGCTCAAAAGAAGTACTTACATGCTCTTGGATTCATGATTTTCAAGGACAATCGTCTCATCTTACCAGTATCCTTACGACAGCGTGTCATGCAAACGGCACATGGAGGTCACGTCGGTGAAGTTGCGATGAAGCGGATTATGAGGGAATACTTCTGGTGGCCGAGAATGTCTAGTGATGTCGAGCGTTTTGTCAAAGAATGTGAAACATGTCTTCGGCTTTCCAGAAAGAATCCTCCTATTCCACTTAGCAGCAGGGAGTTGCCTGATGGCCCGTGGCAGATTCTTCAAGTAGATTTCCTCAGTATTCCCGGATTTGGATCAGGCGAGTTTTTAGTTGTTGTTGACATCTTCTCGTGCTACTTATCAGTAGTTGAAATGAAGCACATGGATGCTGACAGCACGAACGTTGCGCTTTGCAAGGTGTTTCAGATCTGGGGTTGCCCCCTCATCCTCCAGAGTGACAATGGGCCTCCTTTTCAAGGTGCTCAATTCATTAAGTTCTGGGAAGACAAAGGCGTTAAGGTGCGTAAATCCATTCCCCTTAGCCCACAGTCAAATGGGGCAGTGGAGCGACAGAACCAAGGGGTAGTGAAAGCTCTTGCAGCATCTAAAATTGAGGGCACTAACTGGAGACGTGCTCTTCAAATATACACTCATAACCACAACAATCTTGTTCCACACTCGAGACTGTTGGTAACTCCGTTCGAACTGATGTGTGGGTGGAAATTTCGCGGACATTTCCCATGTCTTTGGGAACATGGAGGTAGACAGCTTGATCGTACCGATATCCGTGAAAGAGATGCTGAAACGAAACTGGTAAGCAAACGAAACGCAGATTTAGCTCGGGGGGCGAAAGAATCAGATATTAAAATTGGCGATACAGTGCTACTGGCTCAACATAAAAAGTCGAAAACTGATCCTGTTTTCACACACGAACGTTATAAAGTTGTTGCCAGAGATGGTTCAAAAGTTGTTGTGATGAGCAGACGTGGTATCCAGTATGCACGTAATGTGCAAGACGTGAAGAGGGCTCTCAGAATAGCAGATTACTCATCGGACGAAGAGGACGTTCCCGCAGAAATGGTTTCATCGAACGACATCGAAGATGCTAAATATACGGATTTGTCCATTGATTCTTCAGTTCCGGTCGTCCCCAAAGTAACAGCAAATCATGATTCATCACATTCAACAGGACTTCGACGACGAGAAAACATCAAACGACCTAGCAGATTCGATGGCAATTTCGTTTATGCCGTGTTTCAGTAACAAACGATTGTTGATTTTTTTTCTCACTAGAAGAGTGGAGATAGAGAAGAATGTAGTAATGTAGATGATACCTATAAATAAAAAGAATAAAATTATAATGAACAAAATAACTCACCAATTGAGGATTGATTTATTGCATGACGCAATGACCGAAACTGAATATTTTGATCTGGTACAGATCAAAACAGAAGCAAATAAACAAACTGACGTTTATCGCTTCTCACACAGCTTACTGCGAATATATAGTATTGGACGATCTTGGATAAACTATCGTGTTGCTTATGGTTGGAGTCTCAGGAGAGCTTTAATGTGAAAGTTGTTATGAATGCGAGTATGAATGTCGAATGAAAACTAAGCGATGGAAACCAATATATCGGATATAAAGGTGTATATGTTTGGGTGAATTAAATGTGTGTGTTGAATGCTTTTGAGAGCGAACTGTATTAGTTGTGGGACTATGGTCTAATTGTGTTCCGACTAAAATGGATCGGCAAGCGTACGAATTAGTATGTTTGTGTGTATGCGAATGAGGATCGAACATAATTGGGATGAGATTGTAATTGTGTGCCGACAAGACACGGGTTTTCAGTTAAGAGTTTTGTTAGAGGTGTGCGTGTGAGATTGAGAAAAATGCTAGCTAGAAAAATTCGAGTGTGGCTGAGGTCTGCATTCAGAAAACTAATCTTGGAGTGTACAGTTGGCATAAGAAAAAATCTTTAATATAAAAAAATGGACGGCGAAAAAGAAGTCGGTCACCACAAACAACACTTATTTTGTGCCAATTTTTTGCCCCAAGTGTGCAACAGATTGAAATTTCGCTACCGAAAGATGGAATATCCATACATACAAAAAAAAAACAAAAACTGTATTGGTAACAATATTAACCTTTCAATTTAAAAGTATAAAAAACATCGTTATTCTTACTACGAAAATATTTGATTCAACAAAGTTGTTTTTAATTAAAAAAAAAGAGATTGTTTCAAATTTAACTTGTAAAAATTGAAACTTAAAAGGTTTTCCCGTGTTTACGAAGAACGATCTAATAATTTTTGCTATTGGTAAATACGAAAATCAAAGAATCGGAGTTACAAATAGCAAAATCTTTTATGTTTTTTTAATTAACAGGGATGCTACGACAGCTACTATGCTGAACACTTTCAAAACGGTTTTATAACTTAGAACTTCATCAAGATACAAACTGCGACGGCTTAGTGGGATTACGAATTGTTGGTAGGAATATTTATTTGGTTTCTAAGATACAGGATACAATACTGGGTCACGTAAACACTGCATTATTATTCGAGACCATGTAGGAGGCAATATCTAATTATTATTGCTTATGTATTTCTGATAAAGGAACCTTACATACTTATATAGAGACCCTGATTTCGGTAAAAAAATATACCGCTTATACCCCGTACATACTATGGCTTATATCATGTAATATAGACTGTCTTGCAATGAGCACTCACATATAGGATTTCCAGTGAAAACTAGATGTATGAGTGCTCATTGCAAGACAGCCTATATTACATAATATAGGCCATAGTCTGTACGGGGTATTAGATCGGTAATCCTAAAAATTACAGATGTTTCGATATTTTCTCGCTCTATTGCTAAAAACTGTAAATAAAATGACCGAATTTCATTTTAATTTAACGAAAACTGTAAACATTTTTACCGGCAGGTCTGTAAATCAGCTTCATGACTGACTTTGGTGAAATATTTTACTGAAGTTTCGGTAAACAAAGTGTTCCATTACCGAGTCCGGTAATGGTCTCGGTAAACTTTAAATCCGAATTGATTTTTGATGGGCTTTGAAAATGTTCATGTTTGTGAAAAATTAAAAGATGAAATAATGGAGGCTGTCATGTAACACCAAGATGAGTGAATCGTAGATATTTCCCGTAAATATAATTATTATTTTGACGTAGAACTACGTTTTTGTCGACTATACTGGGGTGCAAATCAAAAAATATGTGTGGTGAAGGAGTGTTAGGTTTTGAACGCTTGTTACTTTGTCATTTATAGATGAAACTTAAATCCAAATACGCCAATCGATAGGATATTACATTACAAACCTGCTGAAATAAATATTTTTCCAATTTTTCTTTAATTAAACTTTTGAAAATATACAAATGATAATTTTATCATTTGTTTCATGAAATAAGCCTTTTTACCAAACCCAGCTCCTTCCCCATTCATAATAAAATGGCGGGAAATCCTGTCAGTTGCGGGGCTTAGAAAGTATGTTTTGTGCAGAATATGTAAAAAAGGAGGGAATTCGGATGTATTTTTTCTGCAAAATATGTAAAAAAGGAGGGACGTCGGATGTTAACCTAAATGCATATATCATGCATCATAGATAGAGATAGATAGATAAGTTCTACGTCATACTGCGGTCGTGTCTAGGACACAACCCTTTACTTTTTCATCTAAATAAATATCATTACAGATGGCCGATGTTAAGCCTTGTTTTATTTTCCGTCGGTCCAAGTTCTATTCCCATATTCACGACGATCTAAAACAGCATTTGGAATCTTTATCCAAATCTTCCCTGTTTTCAGTGTAGCGCAGAATACTTCCAACAAAAACTTCTTTTTGTTCATCGGTGGAGCAAACACATTGACCAAGACTGTGTCAGTTGTTTGTATGGATTGCAGTGACCGCCACCTTGAAACAATATTACAGCATTACAGTCAAGGTTAAAGAGGTTTTAAAAAAGTTTTTATTGGAATGGAATATAATGGAATTGGATTTGGAAAACGAAATCAGTTTATTTTTAGTAACTTACAGAAACAATTGTCTGACAAAAGAATGGTGACTTCCCATCAGAACGGATATTTTCGTACATTCCTTAAGACCTTAATTGATTTAATTCATCCGAAAAAAGCATTAAAATTTTAAGCTACATCTACTAAAATCACCGCAGCATGATGATACTAATGAACCCAATGTGGATGGAGATGTCCATATGGGGTCAAATGATCCATTTAGTAATCTGACAGCGGGCGATGAGTTATGGTATAAAAACAACAAACCAATTTTTTTTTTCAAACAAGTGCTTGGTATAACTTATAAATACCACAATGTACTAATTAAAGCGAAGAAATGTTTTTCATCTAAAATTACTAAAATATTGTCAGTTATGAATGCAATACTTGTAGTTCACTGGCTGTGGGAACAATAATGTTTATTTATTTTGCTTGTTTGGTTGACAGTTCGATTGGTACTTCTGGCTTCACTCTTGGCGGGACTCTTATTATAACATTGACTCTGTATGTGAGGCCCCTCGACAGCCTCGACAGTGGCTGCATTCTTGTCACACATCTCAATGTCAAAATTGACGTTTATCATACTACGTGTTTACGTTCGTTGTGCTGCGTTGTCACCGTCACTCACTACAGAACATTAGGAAAAACATCGGGCTGCGAGGTGAGATTTTTGTGCTAGAAATTCAACGATTTCTCGCATTTGTAACACACGCAGGAGTTTAAAGTCCATTTGCGCGAACAGGAAAATAAACGCTTAGTTGTTAGTTTTAGGTAAATTTTACAGTGTGGCTGATTGGTGATCCAAAATGTTGGATTTGTTTACCATCTTCACCAAGGGCGGAATCGTCCTCTGGTACTTCCGAGGTACTAATCAAATATTTGCCCCTTCGGTTAATGCGCTTATCCGCAGCGTAATTCTGCAGGTAAGTCTGGGAAGCATAGATTTGACTGTCGTTGAGGCATAATTAACATTGACTATTTTGTGCTCCAGGAACGTTCTGGAGTTTACGATCATGACGGGTTATCGCTCCAATACAAACTGGACAATGAATTCGAGTTGGTGTTTGTTGTTGCATTCCAAAAGATCCTTCAGCTTTCGTACATCGACAAGTTTTTGAGCGATGTACATTTAGAATTTCGTGATAAGTATAAGAATGACCTGAGAGCTGAAAACCGAAACTATACGAATTTTGAGTTTCAAGATGATTTCACAAGGATTCTGGAGCAGGCCGAAAAGTGGGGCCGAATGCAAGCAACGCTTCCAAAGCAGATGCGTAGCTTTGAGGATTCCCATAAATCGAAGAAAACGGTTGCTTCCATGATTGAGAGAAAGGGTGAGGAAAAACCAGCTGGTAGTAAGAAATCGGTGAAAATAATGGAAAATAAAAAGGAACAGGAAGAGAATGTTGCTCCTCCTCAAATGAACGGAGGTAATGAAGATTTGATTCTGGAGAATCGTAAGAAAATGATAGAAAAGTTGAACAAGAAGAAGGGAGATAAGCCCAAGTCCCCCAAATCTCCGCCACAAAAATCTGGAAAACAAATGCGTGTTTGGGATTTGGGAGGTAATACAAGAGATTTGCCAAATTTGGATCGTTCTAAGGACAAGCCGGAAGACATGAAGAGCGATTTCACAACGAGCAATGCAATGATTGGCAGCATGAAAGGGGGCATTCAAGATTTGGAAGTCGAAAGCGATAGCGATTACTCTGAGGAAGAAGATGAAGAAGAAATCAAAAATTATGAAATGCGCCAAAGTACTGCACCAACCAAGAAATCTGGCGGAGTATTCTCCTTGTTCAAAGGCTTGGTAGGATCAAAGAATCTTACTCGTGAAGCTATGCAGCCAGCGCTTGATAAACTTAGTGATCATTTGATTTCCAAGAACGTTGCATCCGATATTTCTCACAAGCTATGCGAATCGGTCGCTGTAAAACTAGAAGGAAAAGTTCTTGGCACATTCGATACCATTGCTGCAACGGTTAAAAATACATTGACTGAAGCTCTGGTCCAAATATTGTCACCGAAACGTCGCGTTGATATTCTTCGTGATTGCCTGGAAGCCAAGAAAAACAAGCGACCTTACGTGATGAGCTTCTGTGGGGTGAACGGTGTCGGAAAGTCCACTAACTTGGCCAAAATCTGCTTCTGGTTAATTGAGAATAATTTGAATGTTTTGATTGCGGCTTGCGATACGTTCCGTGCTGGAGCTGTTGAGCAACTGCGTACTCACATGAGACATCTGAACGCTTTGCATCCACCGGAGAAGCATGCTGGAAGGAACATGGTACAGCTGTACGAGAAGGGCTACGGCAAAGATGCAGCTGGAATTGCAACGGAAGCCATACGATATGCAAATGATTCTTCGGTCGATGTAGTTTTGATTGATACTGCAGGGCGTATGCAAGACAACGAACCGCTCATGAGAGCGTTGGCCAAATTGATAAAGGTAAATGTTAATGTCTTCCTACATTACTGGTCACAAATATGTAATTCGTGTATATTATAGGTTAACGAGCCCGATCTCGTATTGTTCGTTGGAGAAGCCCTCGTAGGAAATGAAGCCGTCGATCAGCTGGTTAAATTCAACCAAGCTTTGGCAGATTATTCTGCGAATGAGAATCCGCACATTATCGATGGTATTGTTTTGACCAAGTTTGATACTATTGACGACAAGGTATATGTGTAATCCTCGATTTCTCAATTTTGCGTATATCTTAAATGTGTTATTTCCTTCATAGGTGGGCGCTGCTATATCAATGACATACATTACGGGACAACCGATTGTGTTTGTCGGAACAGGACAGACCTATACCGATCTGAAAAAGCTGAACGCTAAAGCCGTCGTTCATGCTCTGATGAAGTGAGCTGGTAAAAATTTCCACGGTGTGCATTTTACTCCATCCACTCCTTATAATTGAGCTCCATGTATCTTACTTGTGCTTGAATATTTCTGTTCAGATGTTATATCCTAGTTCGTGTTCAATTCCAATGATTTCTTCCACCATTTCTATCGGCTGAATTCCAAACATTAAATGCAAGATAGTAGACCAATTCCAGCTAGTCATAGGGACAGACACAATTGAAAAAAGTATCTTCTACTCACATGTAGTGATTGAACCTCGATGTATCTTTCTTTTTTATTTTTATATAACTGTGTACCTACCATAGTTTTTCGTTTGTGGATGTATATTATCATTGTACTTTATCGCTATTTTGTTGTGTTTTATTGAAGGAAAAAAGGGAACATTTACCTTACAATTATGGAGAATAAAAATCGAGAACATAAAATATATGGAAAATTATCGGTATTGTTCGACATTTACGGCGATGACAGCCTTCATGGTCGAGTATTTTTGCTTATCTCTTCTCCAGGATTCATGTTACATGCACAGCCCCGGTATACTTCCGTGTATCGAAAACTCAAAAAGTTTACTTAAGCTTTTGGATGATTACCCGCATAAACGCGAACCATCACATGACCTTACCGATAATGGTTATAAATTGTTTATAATCCCTGCTAAACTTCAACTGAAATGGTTATGGAACCTTACATGAACGTTTGTGTGATAAAGTTTTAACCTTATGTGTTATGGTTTTTTGGAAGCGGACCTTACAAATAATGGGTTGTTAAGAACCATTACCATTCCAAATTCTTGTTTTCTCCATACATTTTCGGAAAGAGAACTATATTAGAACGTTTTTACTTATGGTTTGAGAACATTAATGGTTATGGTTATGGTAGTCAGTAAGGTCCATTAATGGTTTTGTATTATCGCTCAACTTTACGTGAAATATATCGTGAATTGGTAATCAAGAGCAAATTTTCATTACGTCGAATGTAACAAAGGTAAACAAAGTCGAGCTATCAGTGTCAATCGATTCTCCTGCTATTATACTATATACTGTCCGAATATAGGATCAAATCCCATTTTTAAATTTATTTACCAGTCAAATTGCTTTTTGACGTAATCACCTTCCGATCAAAATAGTTTTCGATGTTACTTAAGTCACCCAATTTCTATGGAGATGCCGTTTGACTTAAGTTACAGCGCTGAGAAACCCGTGAAAAGTGTACGTTCGTCGTTTCGCTTTCTCATTATTAAAGTGAATAAATCGAACTGTTTGTTGCTAAGATGATTTCGGTGGTCCTAAAATGATGAATGGGCTGCACGTATGGAGACGTAATTGATAATTCTCCCGAATATCCTGGTAAATACACTTTGACTTAAGTAACAATAGGGGCCACCAAACGACGTATAATAACTTTTGACTCAAAAACCAGTATTTTTTAGCATGAAAGCTAGCGATTTGCATGTGTATGATTAAAACCCTGCTAAATATGTTAAACATTGCTATCACTATGAGATTATATGTGTTTACTTGGAAATAGGAATAACTTTTCGGTCATCAAAACAAAACTTTATTTTTCTCGGATTGGTGCGAATGTTACTTACGACATAATGAAAATTTGCTCTTGTAATCAGTAATTTACAGGCAACCAATTCGCGATATATTCCACATAAAGTTGATCGATGTTACAAAACCATTCATGGACCTTACTGGTTACCATAACCATTATCATTAATGTTCTTAAACCATAAGTTAAAAGGTTTTAGTAAAGTTTTCTTTCCGAAAATGTATGGAGAAAACAAGAATTTGGAATGGTAATGGTTCTTAACAACCCATTATTTGTAAGGTCCACTTCCAAAAAACTATAATACTTAAGGTTAAAACTTTATCATTAAACGTTCATGTAAAGTTCCATAACCATTTCAGTTGAAGTTTAGCAGGGATTATAAACAATTTATAACCATTATCGGTAAGGTCAATTTATGGTTCGCGCTTATGCGGGTAATCAAACATTTTGTTTATTTATTTATTTATTGTTGTTTTACATCAACAGGCTGGATGAAGCCCCAATGATATTAACCTTATCAACTATAGTAAAAAAAATACATTCAAGCATGGTCAAGCAAAACATTAAAAAACATATATCTTATAGTCAGTTACTCCTGCCGGTGAAAAACATAAGAAAACTTTTGACGAAGCGCATCGGGGGAGAGATGAAAGTCGAAAACAGATGCAACTCTGTTGAATGTTCTCTGCAGTCCGCAAATTGCGCCGTATGCTCCATAATTAGTGGGACGTAGAGGCAGTCTTAGGATAAGGTTATTACGAAGCGGTCGGGGTTGAACATTCAGGTCATGGTGGGTATACAAATGGTGATACAGCTTTGTCACTACATAGGCGAGGAGGTCGCGGGGGAAAAAGTGCGGTTTTAGAGCAAATTGTAAACAAACTCGGTCACTGTCCCATACAAAAATCCAACATGGCTGAATCATGAATTTGACACATTAGAACGACTATATGTAGTCACCTTGATTCAGGTCAATTTGCCTCAGGTTAGCCTCGCAATCTGTCCTTCCTTGCAGGATATCGGCCACGGTTAGGGCTCTGCTTGTGTCTCTTCTAGTCCGGAGAAGTTCTAGGTCGATAAGTTGACAACGGCTTTCGTAACTGGGTAATCGAAACGGATCATTCCAAGACAATCTATGCAACGCACAACGAAGAAAGCGACGTTTAACAGATTCAATTCTCTCGGCACCGTTGTTGTAGTTTGGGTTCCATACCGCTGAAAATACTCAAGTGTCGATCGAACAAGCGAATAATAGAGAGATTTTAGACAGTAGATATCAGTGAAGTTTTTAGCTATCCTAAAAATGAACTCTAAAGTTCTTGACACCTTATCGACAACATATGCAATGTGTTGCTTGAATGAAAGTTGTGAATCCAAGATCACACCCAAGTCTTTCACCTGATTCACGCGTTCGATTGTCTAGTCAAGCAGGACATAGCTAAATATTGTCGGTTGTTGTTTTCGTGAGAACGTAATAGCGGAGAATTCGGCTGGGTTCAGTACCATTCTGTTTAAACTGCACCAACTAGCGAATACATTCAGCTGACGTTGAAGAAAGTGACAGTCAGTAATGGAGCAGATTCGTAAGAAGATTTTGAGGTCATCTGCATATGATAACCGAGGAAGAAATCAACGGTCCCATGTGGCTCCTGTTACGTTTGGGACACTTTGTCCCTGCAGATTCTTCTGGATTGTGATATCTTTCCGAAATCACAAACGCGCTCGTTGGTGGTTAGAACAACAATAATCTTTATTCAAAATTATATTCCTTAACACATTTTTTCCTACGGGAGACACCTGAAGTCATTATGTGACAGTTTATGTAAACGATCACCAATCAGCGATCGATATTAACAAACGAGAGAATGAGAGAGTGAGAGAGAGAAAGAATTTGGAGAAGGCAAATTGGTTAAGTCGGTTGCGCTGAAAACGGCTTAGCAACTAGGAATATCGGTTGCCCGGAGTGCGCCTTGGCGACAAGCAATACGATACCCTTAGACGCCGAATATGGGTTATTAAATTTGTTTTAGCGTTCATCGAACTGCTCCATGCACTTGCTGCGTAAGGAGTTCGATGTCCGAGTGAGGCATGGGAAAATGCTTTTACTAATTGAAAACTGAAATGCTTTTTGAAAATTGATGACATGTGAGTTGCGCATGTCACACTCCCCTGAGGTATACCTGATGTGGCGAAGAAGCTAGCTGATCTGCAATCTCCTATGGCAACCATTAGTTGGCAACCGGTAAGATATGATCGAAACCAACTCAGAAGATTACCGCATACACCGGCCGAGTTTAGCAATTTGCAATAGCATGGTTCAACTTGTCAAATGCTGCGGATAGGTCTGAATAAATAACGTCCGTTTGAACCCGATCCGATATGATTTCGGTTGTATACGATGTGAGACACAGCAAATTGGTGGTTGTAGAGCGACCAACAGTAAACCCATGTTGATCAGCACTCAAATACTGCTTGCAATGGGACAGCAACGGTTCCATAATCACTAGCTCGAATAGCTTCGAAACGGCACTTAACGATGTAATTCCTCTAAAGTTATCCACAGCTCGTTTCCTTCCTTTTTTGTGGACGGGAAACATGTGCGCAAATTTCCAGCAAGATAGAAATATGGCACTGGAGTGAGACATTCCGAACATTCGGCGAAGAAGCGGAATTAACAAGCTAGCAATATGTCTCTTCAAAAATACAGCTCCAGGTCCAGGGTTAAAGAATGACTTGAGCAGAGTCGCGGCCTTATAAATCATCTCAGCATTAACATCAATTGCACCCAGCGTTTGATCATTTACTGGAACGTCCCTGGCAGTCAGGCAAACTTTTCGGAAAAAAGGTGGCAAATATCCTGAACGGTGGCAGCAACTTCTCCGTTGAATTCCATAGACGATGGGAGGCCGGTATCCCTGCGTTGCTCGTTTACGTAGTTCCAAAAGGATTTCGGGTGTAGCTTAAGTTTGCGCTTGATGCCTCTTAAGAAACTTGAAAAGCATTCCCGACTGACTCGCTGGTACATGTGATTCAGCCTCACATAATGTAGTTTCAGAGGAAGCGTGCGATACTTCGTAAATCTTCTCAATGCTGCTCTTTTGATTGTCTGTTTAACCTACGTAGCTCTCTCGTCTGCCAGGGAGGGTGAGACACTTTGTGGTGAGTTCTTTTCAGGACGTGTATGTCAATGACATATGCCAAGACATGTGAAAAGGTTTGTGCTGCAGCCTCAACGTCATCTGGATCGAGGATGTTCTCCCATACCATGCTAGACAATACATCTATGATTCTACGGTGGTCAGCTTTACGGAAGTTATAAGAAACCGTAGCACGATAATCGTCGCAATCACGCACGAGTTTGTCCTCAACAGTGACAATTAGAGGAGGGTGATGTGGAACTAGATTAGTTAGTGTCAGTGCTGTAAATTCTCAAAATCATTTGAACATTTTTGATGAAAATGAGAAAAGTAGCTATTCGCTATCAAAGGGGTGATATCAGTTGCTTAGTCATTTTAAGAAGGCATGGATCATTCTCATTTGAGAAACGCTATATATCATTCAATTGAGTGTAACCTACACACTAACTTAGTGTACAAGGAGCCGAGGAAATTGATGGATCCCTGTCCTGTGTGCTCACGAAGCAGAGGTCCAAACTACGATACGGTTGGGAGATCCCACCACCGAACTCGACCGCAGGTCCAGAACGACGCTGATGGCAGGAAACAGCTAGCGCGACTGGATCGAGTGGTTCGAGGTCTCCCATAATGCGAAAGGCAGTATGTTCTGGTTTATAGCGTTCCAATTCACAACGCGGCATCTAATTCTGAATCATCATACTAGGTCTAGTTCGGAGATGGGAGTTGAGAATTCGGAAGGTCCCGGAACAGGAGAGATCGTGATGGCTAGCGTGTTCAAACGAGGCATCCACATGTTTTTTGAACTGTCTTAAAATTCACGGAACAAAATTCCTTTCGGCCATGTATCCGATGTAAGAGCAACTGCACGTAGTTTGGGAGTCAATCCGACTTTGTACGATATGTACGATACCGCTTTAGTAGCACCAACAAGTGGTTTGCTGGTGAGCGAGCCTTCATCGCGGCGTCGTTTTAATGGCGGTTGACGCATAAGATCGCCGGAACTCAAGTGTTTTGGAGTTGTCAATGCGATTCGTTTCGAGAGCATTTCCTTCCTGGTGAATCATCCTGTCCATTCCGTCTCGCACGCTGAGCCGATCAAGTCGCATCGGTCTCGTTGTACGACACTATCATTTAGTTTTGAGTTTTTCCCCACGCGAGGGTTTTTTCTCGCCAAAGTTAATTGGCATAGTGTTTAGACGACTAGTGCGCGAGTGAGGAAGCCGTTAATGATATGCCGAGTGCTTTCATTACGGTCCAGCTTTAACCCAGCATCATCGCAACATCATCAGCAAAATCATCACCACTATCGGTACATCACCCCATCGATAGCAACAACGAAAGAGCGTCATATCATAGAGGTAACTCTAAGACTACTGGGTCCCGAAGAAAATCATTATTATTTTTGGCTCACTCAGTACCAGAACAACGGTCCCAAGCAGTCCCAAGCTATTTCACTCACCCCTGCATGTTCTGCATGAATCCACACACCCCTGATGTTATCTGTCAAACTTTCATAGCGAATCAAAACAAACATAGTGTAGTAATAGAATTTCAACTAGAATAGGGTACGTTAATCGTTCGCTTGGGACCAATAGGCTACTAAAGTGGTGAGCCAATTTAAAATCGTTAGTTTCGTATTGATTGTTGGTCATATTGCCTACCGAGTCGACCGAGGCACACCAGCATCGAGGTTATTGACTCTGCAGCCGTTGGATCAAACAATTATATCTCTCCAGTCTGCTGCCGCCTCAGTGCGTTAGGTATAAATCGTGTCGTTTGTATTGTTCTCGCCAGTATAGCATCTTCCTTGTTTCCCTGGTCCAATATTAGATTGGTGTTTAATTAGAGTGATCCAAAAATCCAATTTTTTTTTTTCGCTCGATTTTTTTTTGCCAATTTAAAATCGTTAGTTTCGTATTGATTGTTGGTATATCCATAGAGGTAACTCTAAGACAAGTAGGTCCCGAAGAAACGTGCTCAACTTTTTGGCTCACCTCTGGTACTATCTTGGGTCCCAAGCTTGTCGAATCACCCCTCGAAAGATAAGAAAAACCAATAACCCCTCATTTTATCTGTCAAACTTTCATAGCGAATCAAAACAAACATTGCGTAGTACTAGAATTTCGACTAGAATAGGGTACGTTAATCGTTTGCTTGGGACCAATAGGCTACTAATTGTTGGATTGTTGGTATATCGTTATACACTAGAGTTGTTTTCTACGCGGTTTTTTTTACACGGTCTTTTTTTACGCGGTTTTTTTTTACGCGGATTTCGGAATTTACGCGGTTTTTTTTACGCGGATTCCGGAATTTACGCGGTTTTTTTTTACGCGGGACGTATCACCCGCGTAAAAAGCGACTCCAGTGTATTACGCGAGTTATTGAACTAATAGATTCCATCCGGCTGATGTTGCTTGTGACGGAATACAAAATTAAAGAAGAAAAACAGTACAGTTTTCCCGGGTCCTGTACCAATTTTACGAGGTAAGAATCAAAAGTGTCATTATGATGAGGATTAAGTTGGCATAACAAAAATATAACCCGTTTCCAGTGAAGGGAGAAACAAAGTTAATATTTGTAAACATCCGGACCCATTCGATGAGCGACATCCTTCAAGGATCGATTCCAGCAGTGAACTGTGCTGCATGACGAAAACACCCTTCGAGGAAAGCCTCGATTGCATCGTACCGGTTGATGCTGGTGATAATTATGTTTAAATGGCTAATTTTTTCCAATAATTGTGTGGCAATAACAAAAATATGACTGGTTTCAATGATTTCGGTTCATACTTGCAAAGATTTCAAGAGGTTCTTTATTTTATGACTGGTAGCCCGCATAAACGCGAACCATCACATTACCTTACCGATAATGGTTATAAATTGTTTGTAATCCCTGCTAAACTGCAACTGAAATGGTTATGGAACTTTACATGAACGTTTGTGTGATAAAGTTTTAACCTTATGTATTATGGTTTTTTGGAAGCGGACCTTACAAATAAGGGGTTGTTAAGAACCATTACCATTCCAAATTCTTGTTTTCTCCATACATTATCGGAAAGAGAAGTATATTAGAACGTTTTTACTTATGGTTTGAGAACATTAATGGTTATGGTTATGGTAGTCAGTAAGGTCCATTAATGGTTTTGTATTATCGCTCAACTTTACGTGAAATATATCGTGAATTGGTAATCAGTAATTTACAGGCAACCAATTCGCGATATATTCCACATAAAGTTGATCGATGTTACAAAACCATTCATGGACCTTACTGGTTACCATAACCATTACCATTAATGTTCTCAAACCATAAGTTAAAAGGTTTTAGTATAGTTTTCTTTCCGAAAATGTATGGAGAAAACAAGAATTTTGAATGGTAATGTTTCTTAACAACCCATTATTTGTAAGGTCCACTTCCAAAAAACTATAATACTTAAGGTTAAAACTTTATCATTAAACGTTCATGTAAAGTTCCATAACCATTTCAGTTGAAGTTTAGCAGGGATTATAAACAATTTATAACCATTTTAGGTAAGGTCAATTTATGGTTCGCGGTTATGGTTCATTCCACCTAAATCTGCATTCTGGACCACTGTGCATTGTTCGATAAAATGTTACCCTTGCCGATCAGTTTCATACAACGTTTCTGGCGCATCGAAGAGGTAGAGAATCAGTCCAATTACTCGGTGGAAGAACAGCAGTGTGAGTTCCATTTAATTTAAAGAAATTCCAACCGCCAAGAAAAAAAGATCGTTTTCAAATTAAATAAAGTGTTGTGTAAAATACGATTGGAAGTTTTGCTACTCCTTGGTGAACTTGAGTGCCTACTCCGCCGGTTTTGCCGTTCTGTTTTGGTGACTAGTGTCCGTGTGTGATCCCGAAATACCCCGCCGGAATACCACGATCCTGCCCTAACATATTGGTAATCAAACTGGAAGGAACAAGTGGCATTTTTTTAAAGATCTGGAACCATGGGGCGATTCTACAACAGCATACTCTCTACCGTTCGTAACATTTGAAAAAGGCCTATCAGCTATTGACAACAAAACTTTTCGCACGAACCGAAATTCGCCTACGCAAACCAATAACCAATAGAATTTCCCCTACTCAATAGTGCTGTTGGTTTGCGTAGGCACGCTTCGATTGTGCGAAAGGGGCATTACAAGTTTTGTTTACAAAAGCTGATAGGCCCTTTCCAAATGTTAGGCGAGGTTTCTCAGCAATCTTGGTTCAAAGATTGATCGTTTACTTGAATGCAGATAATCATGATTATCTCGGATGCAATGGAATTATAAATGATGATTTATGTTCCTGTGGAGAAGCACCTGTAGATCCAGACCATATGCGTGTTCTAGATATGAATATCAGAGACGAAAGTTATGGACAAGTATTGGAAAAAAGGATTATTCCAGATGTTTCAATTATTCTCAACGGCAGAGAAATTTTGCAAAAAATAGCCGATTATAGAATGTGAAAATTACGTGTAGAAAAAATATAGTATCGATAGAACCACTAACCGCAAATAAAAGGCTAGCCTAAAAAACTTAAAAAGCCGTGTGATAAGTATAATATTTCAAAGCCTGAGTTTGGTTTAAAACATTTTCATTGTTTTATTTTACTTCATATTTTCATTAATAGCTTCATAAGCGTAACAACTAGTAATTTCTGTCCTATTATGTTTCCTCTGTTTTAATTTTCATGACATTTGAATAAAGTTTCTTTGTATATTTATGGTTTTCATTCGAATATTGTTTAACCTGTTATTTCGTTAAATTCACATCATTAGTCAGAAAGGGTTTCGTTCCTTCGTATTTGTTATTCCTTTTTGTCAAGTAATTTGTCTAAACTATTTTATCTAGTTTGTTTTGTTTTAAATGTATAATTTGCCGTGTTTATCCGTTACTTGAACTGAGTGAGTTTTTTCTTTCTTTCTCGATGACGGATTGCTATTTGTTTGTGGTAGGAAATCTTTGCTTTCTGGAATTTGACATTCAGTGTTTAGTTTTGCTTTACAATCGAAACAGCTTGGACAATATAGAAGATTAACGTTTCAGTTATGATAAGCAGCATAAGAGTTGAGAAAAACATAAAGCAATCGAACGATTTGAATCACCTTTTTGAACCAAGATTTAGGATAACCATTGTCTACCAGCTAAACTCTGCACCATGTTTTAACATTTAGGTACGATACTTTATAATTTTACATGCCGCCAGTTACCAATCTATTCGTACTCCACTTTTTTTGTATAATAGTAATAATGTAATTTGCTAGCAATAGTAATAGTGCTTAGGTAAAGGTATCCCAAAATTTGTTGTAGTTTACGTCTCAAAGAGAGAGAGTCACAGTTATCATTTGAATGCTATCATATCAATTCGAAGACCACTCTCATAATTTCTGAATGCTTTCCCTTCAATATTTTGTGTTGTTCTTCAATATTAGCTGATATTTCTAATCCGGCATTTGTTTTGTCTTGGTAATTGATTGTTGTTGTAACAGTAGTAGTAGTATTTGGTAATGCCAACAAAAACAGGAACTAAAGAAGAACAAACGTTCGTGTTGCTATATTTATTCTTCAAAAGATGCATTAAACAATTAGTCCAGAAAATGTATTACAAATAACACCTCGATATTTTTCGTTTCGCTACGCTTTTATTAAATTAATTAGCAATATATTGCAAATAAAACCATCCATTTGATTCATCCGTTCACCTCTTTCATACATAGTACTAAACCTATCAATAAAGCAAACATTTCCAAATTACATAACCGAAAAAAAAAAACAATGTACAAGATTATACAACTTCCTAGAAAATATCGGGGCATTTGGACCAATCCTGCTTCACCTTGGCATCCCAATAGGTTCCCTTGAACACGTGCACCAGATTATCGGTGCCTTCCTCTTGCTGTTTACTAAACCAGACCGGTTCGTATGGCGGATAGGGTCGGCCTTCTGCCGCAGCCTTCTCGGCCTCAGCCTCACGTTCACGTCGTCGCGCTCGTTGCTTTTCTTCCAGTCTGAATTTCATGAATGATCAACAATAAAACATAATGTCCAGTTGTTCAAAAGTTTACAATTCTTACCTTAGTTTTTCCCCATTACTTTCGTTCCACTTGCCTTCCTCCATTAACCGCTGATCGGGTCGCAAACGCGTATCTGTGCGTGCAACGTTAGGCTCGAGTTCGTTCAGTTGGCAGGCAAGCAACGTGAAGTTGTAGTATTTATCACAATCAGTTGGCGGTAATCGCCTACTCCAGGCCGTTTTATAGTTGCCCGTCTTGTAGACAGGATTTTCAACAGAGCCACTAGTGGAAGTTACTGGTGCAATTTCGATTTTGCTGTCCCAGGTACCGTTTATCACCCATTTGACCTGGTTGGAATTGTCCATCACTACACCCTTCACACGACGCTGTGTATCTCTCGTAAAGTATGAATAGGGTAGATATTTTAGATGGCATTTCACTCCTCGGGCATTCTTTTCGCCGAATATTTCCATATCTCCGTGGTTATCAACCCAGAGCTTTCCAACGATGATATTGTGTACCGTAGTGGTTACCTTGCGCCAAGTGAATTTGTTACCAGTCGCAGGAAATTCAACGTGCGCGTACCCAAGCGGAACTATTTGAATATACTTGCCACGAAATTTGGAGGTCATTGTGAACTCCTGCCAACATCTCCAACCCCGACCCTCACAGTATTGTGCTGCCATGGGTGGATGGTGAGATACCTATGCGTAACGAAATTGGAATTTCAATGAGCTTAACGGTAAAGCTTGATGTCTTTCTTATTACCTGTTCATTGATACACCTCCAACCGAGATCATCTGTCCGGTCACACTCGTACGTTTCGCCAAGAAGTGGATTAAATGGTTTACCAGTGCGATTACTAGTGGTCGAATAACTCGAGATGGTAAATGCGGTTACGTATGCTAGCTGCTCACAAGTTTCTTTGCACTGAGCTGCCTTGTCCAAAATTTCCGAGTATTCGAAATCCTCGGTTAATCTATCATACACAGAGTCAACAGATTATTATATTCTCATAAAACAAAATTCTACATACCTTTGAAGCATCGAGAGCGGTTCGTTGAAATTAACCGGCATCGGAATTTTCGATAGATCCTTACCGATGCAGTTCTTGATGATAGACCACAGGTTCAACGGATAGTTGGGTTTGTCTGGTACACGTGTTCGTCGCCTCCGTACCACCTTTGTGGATTGGTTGTTATTGAAAAGGGTTGGTGTTAGTGCTTGACTACTGTTAACAGATATTCTATCCGTCATGTCCATATTGTCTAGATTATCGGTGACTACTAATACCTGAAATTTAATCAGAGACGAAAGCAGATGACTTGATTAGGAACGGAAAGCAGTATAAATTGTAACATTGGAATGTAAACTTATGTCTTGGTAGTATTTAACTTAATTGTAATTTCGCAGCGCAGGTTGGGGCAGCAATAGCGCAAAGTCAATCCAAGGCCAATAATAAAGGAGATGCAATCACATGCAGGCTACATGATCGCCAAAGGAAGGGATCAGGGTAGATTATGGCGGGTGGTTGGTGGTTTTTAGCGAAGACAACAAATCAAGAAGACTGGCAACTTTGTCAGAATCAAAGCGACAGATACAATGGCGCTGCGCTTGAGTGAAGGTAGAAGCAACGCATAGAAAAATGAGCAAATGCACAAACCCTTCTTCTGATGATGTAATCTTTGCTATCAAATTCGTTCGAAGCATTTACCTTTGAGCGGCAGATGACGCGATTGTACCTGTCTCATAGCGTTCATACGAGAAAATGGAAGAGTTGCCAGTCTTCTTGATTTGTTGTATTCGCTTTTAGGTTGACAACAATGCACTCAAATTTCACGACTGAAATAATTTGACTCTGAAGAAGCTTCTTACACGGGTTATACGTAAAGAAAAGTAAATTAAATTGAATTAGCTTAAATAAAAATAAAGAAAATAAAAACCGCATTAACTGCGAGCAAAAAAGAAACTTAATGATTACAGCTCCAAATATTAACTAACAAGTAAGGATTACAGCTCCCTTTGAATAAAATTCGAAAACTGAGGATTGTTATATGACTGAGAAGATCATGACACGCACGTTAATTTCTATAACCACGTAACAGAATAAATGAATAACGTAACAGAATAAATGAGTAAACTGGTAAACCCTGGTGCCCGGAGTTTAGATTTAGAAATTGCATATTTTTTTCCGAAGGTTTACCTACCAACTGCAGTCTTAATAGGCTATTATCTCGGTTGGTTTACTGTGATCTGTCAAAAGTTCTTGGTAAACCAAAAAGTCAGCTGATCGCAACTGTCTCGTGGACAGCCTTATTCACTACAAAATTGTGATAGAGAAGAAACCAAATCAGGGGAAATATGTCAGAAGGGTATAACTCGAAACGTAAACAATGACTTTGAACGTCGATTTCTCTTGAATGACCACACACCCACGGAATCTGATCACACCAGCTCATAGAACAAACATTTCTCTGTCAGATGATTTAGTTAGTTTGAGTGGGTGTCATTCGTAAGAAACCGACGATCCAAGTCATTGTTTACGTTTCGAGTTAGACCCTTCTGACATGTTTCTGCTGAAATCTAAAACGACTGGTAAATTCCAAATGTGATGTGAATGGAACCCACCATCAGTGCAAGGATTACCAATGTCTGCAGATACTTTACCGGTTGTAAAGTTCTGCCTGATGGTTTGTTGCAGCAGGGTGAATCAGCTTCATTGAAGACCTTTGGATGACGAAACGACCAGATGGCCATCTGTTATCACGTGACAAGGGACTGGCAAATCCACGAACCCTCGTCCAGTCAACAAATCCTTTGATTCCCTTAGGCTGACCCCACCGCCCCCAGGATATAATATAATCACAGACAAACAGACGTAACTCTTCATTGTGTATCTTCGTTCATGCATTTAACGGTTGATTTGAATATTATCAGTTCCGCGAACTACTCGCCGCAGCGCTGGCATCGAATCACTTTGACGTTTCTTTATATTCTATAGAACTTTTATGCAATATTGTTTACGAGTTAGCGAGCAAGCTTGTTTTCCGCGAGAAGCCAGAGAGATGTCGCTACTGAGGTTATATGTTTTGAGATACTATGTTTTCAAGAACAAGTTTTTCAAAGAGTTACGTCTGTTTGTCTGTGATATAATGTTTTAATATATATGAATTACAGTAATGTTCCACCACATGTTCAAAAATGTTCAGACATTTGGCGTTCAATGATGTTTTCAAATACACACAAAAAAATGGGATGTGTGGAGAAAACTCCATTAATAATTTGCCAAATTTAAGAGAATGATGTAAATTTTGTTTATATAGATAAAATCAGATACGATCTCACCAAGTTAGTCCAAATGAATCCACAGGAAGCATCCGTGCTATTGTTGCATTGTAGTTCCAATCTAGGACGGTTCGCTTGATCGGGATCGACATAAACTAGTCCCCTCCTATGTAGAACCAATTTGAAGTGTCCAATCGTCGAAAATGTTAACCGGATTAATAACCAAATAAAGGTCGGCGCCCAATGCATACGTTTTCGGGTTTTTTGACAGATAATGCATGGGCTAACTGTCAAAAAACCTGAAAACGTATCCATTGTGCGACGGCCTTACACAGAAATTCAAAACAACCCAAAATTAAGTTCTTTTCACTCATCTTCCATGTTCCGTACGATAAGCCAAATTTGGGTAAACCGGCTCAAAGTAGTTTGCATTTAAGCACGGCAAAAAAAATTACCCATCGCTAAGTTATTTTCAATTTTTTCTACCCAAAATTAAGTTCAATTAACTCAAATTTGGGTATATCGCATATTACTCAATTTTGGCTTCTCGTACGGAACTAGACGGTTGAGTCGAATCTTTCGTTCTATTTTTGACAACAACAGCGAGAGGAAATGGAACGGGCAGAGGTCAAATAACTCAAATTTGAGTTTAAAAAACCCAAGCGGTGGGTAGTTTTGTTTTTCTGTGTAAGCATAAAAAACTCCGAGAAAATACCAAGGGGCTGCTAAGCCAGCATTTTTCTGATGTCTGATATTTTTCATCCACACATATGCAACCAACGCAAAACAAACACATGCGGAATAAGCGACAGCTATAAAATACGCAATACAGCCGCAAAATTCGTATGTGTTGTTCAAGTTTGCTATATTTTATATTACATATAGAGATTGCTGACGTTTATCGTACGCACACTACGTCACGTATACGTATACGCAAAATGTTTTCATCGGGAAAAAAAACTTAATAGCGGAAAATTTTCCCGATGAAAACAAATCACTGACACAATCATACTTTAGCAATCTCTATAGTCCGTGCAAGAGGGTACTGTCATACTTGTCAAATCCCATACACGGTAACCGCAAAATACCCAATAATGACTACAAAGTAAGCATTTTCGAGGGAGACTGGGACTACCCATTAAATGAGTAAACATATTACCCATTTATGAGTATTTGTTACTCAAAAATGAATACTTACTACTTATTTTTGTAGTTGTAATGACTCATAAATGGGTAAAATTTTACTCATTTAATGGGTAGTCCCAGTTTCCCTCAAAAATGCTTACTTTGTAGTCATTATTGGGTATTTTGCGGTTACCGTGTACACGCTAACTTGAAAGTACTCATTAATGAGTAAAAAATACCCATTTTGAAGAAAAGTGGCTTAACTCATTAATGATTAAACAATTTTACCCATTAATGAGTATCTGTTACCCATTAAGGGGGAGAGGTAGCTCATCGATTCTTCCGGTTCGCCTCCTAGCATCGTGCTATAAGGTACCAGGCGATAACCAGGGTAGTTGATCGATAGCTCCATGACGTCATTTCATTGGCGTCTGCAATGCGAAATTCTCATAGCAGGCGTTGACGATGGGACGTTGTCGAGTTGTTGAATAGCAACTATCGTGGTAACTCACCGATTACCTGTCGATCTGCCAAATTTGGAAAGACGTCTGCATTGAATTGTCTCATATAATAATATTCCGCCCACTATATCACAAGAAATTGCTAGTAGCTGAGTGGAATGGAGATAAGTTAAGCATTGGGTACAGGACCAAGTCTCCCCTGGGTGGTGCCAGAAGATGAGCGCAATAGAATCATCAAGTTGCCATAAGGCACGGAATGAGACTATTGCATGGCTGCCCGCATAAACGCGAACCATAAATTGACCTTACCTAAAATGGTTAAAAATTGTTTATAATCCCTGCTAAACTTTAACTGAAATGGTTATGGAACTTTACATGAACGTTTAATGATAAAGTTTCAACCTTATGTATTATGGTTTTTTGGAACTGGACCTTACAAATAATGGGTTGTTAAGAACCATTACCGTTCCAAATTCTTGTTTTCTCCATACATTTTCGGAAAGAGAACTATATTAGAACCTTTTAACTTATGGTTTGAGAACTTTAATGGTAATGGTTATGGTAGTCAGTAAGGTCCACGAATGGTTTTGTAACATCGATCAACTTTATGTGGAATATATCGCGAATTGGTTACCTGTAATTTACTGATTACCAATTCACGATATATTCCACGTAGAGTTGAGCGATAATACAAAACCATTAATGGACCTTACTGACCACCATAACCATTACCATTAATGTTCTCAAATCATAAGTAAAAACGTTCTTATATAGTTCTCTTTCTGAAAATGTATGGAGAAAACAAGAATTTGGAATGGTAATGGTTCTTAACAACCCATTATTTGTAAGGTCCAGTTCTAAAAAACCATAATACATAAGGTTGAAACTTTATCATTAAACGTTCATGTAAAGTTCCATAACCATTTCAGTTAAAGTTTAGCAGGGATTATAAACAATTTTTAACCATTTTAGGTAAGGTCAATTTATGGTTCGCGTTTATGCGGGTGGGTAGTCAAAGTCTTCCATTCGTTAGTCATTTCAGGTGGATTAGAACAGGTTTAGGTTTAGGGTGGGCGTTGGCCAGATTTGGATTTTTCAGATATAATCCTAAATAGGACCTAGATTATTTAATACACTAGTAACCTCAACTTCTGTCACAATGTTTCATTGTTGTGACTAATCAACACTCAATGGGTAAAATATCAAATTTGCGGTAAATTTGAAAAAAAAAGGTAACTTGGAGTGTAGAGCGCACTGCCCACTGGACGATTCTAAAGCCTGACCAATATGTATAGATACATTCATACCATTGGCATTTTGTATTTGAGATAAGACAGAGACAGGATGCGGAGGGCCCGCTTAGGGGGAGCGTAACCCATGTTATGGCTTCCATTTATTAAATAGTTCAGATAGGCTGGAAAT